TCTATTCCTTTGTTTACTCATGTGAATCGTTGGTATTCTACAGGCATAAAACGTCCATGCATCAGGCAAAGTGTGCACTTCGATACCGATGCCAACAGAGGGAGCGCGTTATCAAAAAAAGGTAGAGAAGGTAGAATGGGGAATAAGAAGGCAAGTAGGAATGGCATAAGCAATTTTCTCGATTGTAGTTCTTTGAGTTTAGAGCAACCTTAAGGGCCACATTCGGCTACGGTCACTAATAGTAGTCATACCATGAGCGACAATTTTTTTTCCGTAGTATACCTCAAATTGCATCCAAATGTATATAGTTTCCGAAGAAATGCCCAAGGGGTTCTTTTTTTCATTTTCTACCCTCTGCTATTGTTCCACCAACTGGCTCATGTCATTGGGCATCGCTGCCGATGAGCCGAGTTATTATTCCTGAAGAAATAATTACAAGCGTAAGTATACTACTCCTAATAAGCTGCCCTCTTCTCGCATGCACTTATGTAAGAAACCTTCTTTTTGGAATTTTTCTGCTGTACCGATGCATTTCGTTGTCACTGTGTCACCGATAGGAGGTTCAAAGGTGTTTGCCTACATTTCCTTTCATAAAGCCGAAGTGAATCCCAATCGCATTAATCTCACGCTCTGTCCATTGAAAAGTGGAGTTCGCATCGATTTCTAAAACGTACGCTTGGTTGGAGTCATATTAAAGTCTCCTATCTAATCACATCAGGCGTATTTCCTGTGCGCGCATGCGCAGAGGTCACGATTCCAAGCCTCACCTGCGACCAATCACATGCCGACCTTCAACCCGTATCGCGTTCATATAACGTTCTGCCCATTAAAAAAATCAAGTTCGCATCGAGTTCTAAAACGTCCGCTTGGTTGAAGTCATATTAAATTTCTCTATCCAATCACATCGGGTATATTTCCTGTGCGCGCACGCGCAAGGGTCAGGATTCCAGGCCTCCACTGCGACCAATCACATGCCGACCTTGAAGTAATTTACCACTTGATTTAGGGCTGATGCTTCGCCTCTATCAGGGCTCACTCGGTCAAGCAATCCTAGTTGCATACCACCTTGCAGTACTAATTCGAAAAAGTGAAGAGCTATGGAACATTTGCAGCGGTCTACTGACACCTTTTTTTACCTTAAACTTGCAGTGCCTAAGCCGAACCCGCCAA